AGATGGCATGGCATGCCCATAAGAAACTTCCTATCCCACGGCAAAGAAAAGGAACTGGGGGCTAGGAATGTACCTCAGTTGGTAGAGTACTAGCCTAGCATGCTTGAAACCCATAAACAGGATGTAGTGGCTTGAATGAGAATATCCTCCACAGGACTCATGTATTTAAATGCTTGGTCGTCATTGCGTTCCCTCTCCCCCTCCCCAGTCAGTGGAACTGTTTGGGAAGGACTGGGAGAAATGTTACTGAATGTGAGCTTTGTGTGCCTCAAGACGTGATCTCTCAGCTTCCGCTCCAGTGCCATTCTTGCCTGCCCACTGCCATGCTCCCTTTCCATGATGGTCATGGAACCACCAAGCCTTATCAAAGCAACAGAAAAGTAATTAAGATGTTGAGTGTGGTGTTATCCACCTAGAGTCTCAGCACTGGGCATGAATTCAGAGATTTGCTGGGCTACGTGGTGAATTTTAATTCAGTCTGGAATAAATGAGACTACCTCAAAAAGGACAAAAGGGGGGTGGTGGAGGGATTCAATTAAGTAACAGAAGAAAAGGAAGAGTCAGAGAACCCCAGTTCTGTGGGAGAGTCACTGATAATTAAAAAGACATCCAGTAACATTAAAGCTTTGAAACCAAGCCCATCTGTAGTCCTAACCTAGGAAGCACAGGATATCCCTAGATTAAATTCAAGTGTTTTCTTATTCTAGAGAATAACAAGAGCAACACAGTAACATTTCAAAAAATAAATGTGGTGGGGGATGTTGTGGAATATTATTTTTACCATATAAAGTTGTGTTGTAGGGGTGAGCCCAAAATACTGTCTGCTCTAAGTGAACCAATGCAATGGGAAAACAAATATTTTTATTAACAGGAGACAGCACTTACACACAAGCTGGGAAGATTAGAAGCATGATAGGCTTCCCGGGGAGAGAGCTTTTCCTTTTCCTTTCTTTAAATATTTCACCTGTTTTGCATACCCTTGTACCCTTTTGGGCGTGGACAGTATTTTGGGCTCATCCTTAATTGTGTTACTTTTTCTTCTACTGCTTTTGTTACATTTGTTTGATTAAATAAAATTAACCTGGCCTAGCATTGGTGGTGTATGCCTTTAATCACAGCACTTGGGAGGCAGAGGCAGGAGGATATCTATGAGTTCCAGGCCAGCCTGGTCTGCCTAGTCTACATAGTGAATTCCAGGACAGCCAGAGCTGTTATACAGAGAGAAACCCTGTCTTGAAGATAGATAGATGGATGGATGGATGGATGGATGGATGGATGGATAGATAGATAGATAGATAGATAGATAGATAGATAGACAGACAGACAGACAGATAGATAGACAGATGATAGAGATAGATTATTGACAGGTAGATAGATACAACTAACCTGGAGTCAGGAGGCTGAATCAGCAAGTCGCTGACAGAAAATTGTAGGGAGGAACTAAGTGTAGCTAGGGTTCCTTAGTGGGGGCTGAGCAGAAAGACACCTTTTTTTTCCCCCGGAGATGAGCAAGGAGAGAAGGTTAGCTATTTGCTATTCAGCCTCTCGGAGCGAAAATAATTTCACATCAACCTTTGAATCTTGAGTTCTATAAAAGCATAGAGACTTAGATAAAGCTCCTTTAGTAGCTGTGATAGAGCCGGTGCCTGGGGGAACAGAATTTCCAGCCAGTGCAGAGAACAGTCGCTTAAGGGGTAGTAGGTAGCCACTGTATTTAATGAAAAACAACAGGGCGATGGTGGCGCATGCCTTTAATCCCAGCACTCAGGAGGCAGAGGCAAGGGGAATCTCTATGAGTTCAAGGCCAGCCTGGTCTACAGAGTGAGTTCCAGGATAGTCAAGGCTACACAGTGAAACCTGACTCAAATACATTATAGGTAGGTAGGTAGGTAGATAGATAGATAGATAGATAGATAGATAGATAGATAGATAGATAGATAGATTGGACAGGTTAGAGAGATGGCTCAGCAGTTAGAAGCATATCAGGAGCTTCACAATCACCTGTCACTCCAGCTCCAGTGAAATCCAGTCCCCCTTCTGGCCTCTGTGGAGACCCACATGCCTGTGTGCATACAAACACAGACAGACACACACACTCACAAACAAAAATTAACTAAAAATAAATAAACCTCAGGTCCATAGTAAAGACCATATACCAAACCATGTCTGTCACTGAACTTGTGAATAGCCGATTGAGGAACATCTCAATAAGATCAAGTGAAAAGGGCCTCATCATAAGGTTTGCTGCAAAGTTGACCCACTAAGGAATTACTAGTCAATTTTGTCCAAATGCAGTACGGCATTTATTATGTTTGGTTAGAATCGTGTTTCAGTGACCAGAGGAAAACACCATTTATCTCCATTATCAAAGTTTCCCCAATCCTGGTTAGAGTATAGGGTGCTGGTTGGAGAAATGACTTTGCTGGCTAAAGAACTACAGGAAAGTCAAGAGCCCAGCACTCCATGAAAAATGCACCTAGGACAGAGGAAAATGGGAACTCTGATTTGTGAAGAGCCTAAGGATGCTCAGAGCTGTTAATATAGGGAACAATTTTTCTTCCCATCTCCACTGGATGTTTCCCAAACAACAACAGTTCTTCCCTGGGAGAAAGCTTAGAGGCTAGGGAGATCAAAGAGAGGGAACAACACAGTTATGCCATTAAATGCCCTCTCCTGTCTTTTCCTTGTGTATGGTTGATTTAAAGAGTGAATCTTAAGGAACGAGGCTTTGAGTCAGAAGCAGCATTTAGGTTTTAGACTCGCAAAGCTGAAATGATATACTACTTAATGTCAACTTTTATTTTGTTTTGAAAAACTAGTTCTGCCGGAAGGCAAAAAAATGTTCTCCAGAATGGAATGGGATGAGGCCCTGTGGATGTAAGATGGGGACCCTGTAAATAAACAATGGGTGTGTGGAAGTGTGTGAACTTACAACTTGACTTTAACTTCTTTATTCTTTTTCTGAGATCCCCTTTTTCAGGTTTAGATCACAGGAACAGGAGGAGGGACACACCCAGCAGCTGTAGAAGCAGGAAACAGCTATTCTAAAACCGAGAAAGGAAAAAAAAAAAAACCCACAAAAGACTCAGAGCATCTCTGCCGTTTTGTCCTGGGTAGCTTGCCTCTCAAAGTGAGGCCTTTTGTGAGTGTGTGACTAGGACAGAGATGCTTGACTCTCTGCGTGTAGCACACCCAGGGTGATTTGTGTAACTCCGTCCTTTACAAATACACTGCTTCCTCCAGAAAAGCATTTCTAACCCAGATCGCCTTTCACAAGTGCTAGGAGCCAAGTCCCCAGGGACAACAGAGGGGCGGTAAGAAGAGCCACGGTCACTTCAAGCCAGAGGATGGTGGAGAGGAGGAATGGCTTGGGAAAATTCCACTCAGTGGGGCATCTAAGTTACAGGCTTGAGGAGGGCAAGGGAGAAAACTCTTCCCCTCTCATATTTCCCCTGGTCACACAGAGCTAAATGATGTCCACTTGTGCTGCTGCTTGGCTTCCAGGGAAGCTACAGCAGCAAGCTAATGTAAGCGGAGTGTGAGAAACAGCCAGTTTTCACGGAACGGATGACTTCTTTTTTAGGAAACCGAAACCTAGATGAGAAACAGAACTCAGTCTGCAGAGGGAGACTACCTTCTTCCTGCTGCCTTGAGACAGTGTCTGATGGAGGTACGTGTGAGGTTATCCCCCGTCACCCCCATCAGATAAGGAGTATAAACTACAAATCCGGTGTGTCTTGTGACTCCTGACGACCATCCAGACACCTCCACGCGTGTCAGCTGTTCTCCAGGAAGGGTCTAAATCAGGCTGTACACCTCTCCTCACTCTGATGTCAGACTGGCTTCTTGGAAGCAATATTTATTAAACCCCAAAAGTAAACCTGTTAGAATTCAAAAGAAACCCAGTTCTGAAGTTGAGAAGAATCATCTTCAGTCTAATTTAAAACAATGAGAGCTGTTTCATGTCACTGTGTACGCTCCTCACGTCACAGAGCCTAGACAATTCTAACTCAACTCGGGTATGTATTAATGCTGGTGTTCAGCCCATGCACATCACATACCCTCGCCCTTCAATACCCACCCCTGTATACTTTTTCGAAGAAAAGTGGGGCACAATGAATCACATCTGTAATACTGTAAACCTGGAGACGGAGGCAGGAGGATCAGAAGTTGAAGGTCACCCTCATCTACATACTGAGTTGAGTCCAGCCTGGGCCACAGGAAAAACCTGCCTCAATCAACCAAACAATATTTCATTTTCCTAAAGAAGTTTCTGGTTTGCAGTGCCATTGAAAGGAATTTAGATATGTCTCCCAGTCTCACAGATTCTGCTTCCACACATGCACAGCCTCCCCATAGTTAATATCTTCTGCCAGCATTGTACATTTGTTACAGTTGGGGAGCCCTCACCTGCATATCAATATCACCAAAGCATAATTTACATTAGCATTTGCATAGTATGTGTGTGTGTGTGTGTGTGTGTGTGTGTGTGTGTGCGCGCGCGCGCGCACTCACCTTTGGGAATGCAGGTGTGTGTCACACGTGGAGGTCAGGGACAACATCAAAGCACTGGGATTACTCTGGGATTACAGATGTTCTTGGTCTGGGTTTATGTGGGTTCTGGAGGTTGACTCAGGTCCTCAGACTTGCAAAGTAGGTGTTTTTGTTTTTGTTTTTTACCCACTTAGCCTTCTTCCTGTCCTTGGTGTTTTTCGTTTATAGGTTTGAACCAATGTATAATGAAATGCACCCACCAATATAGTGTCTTGAGTATTTTCACTTCCTCCAGCTTCATTCTCTTCAACCACTGCATGAAAAACAACATGGATGTTAGCCATGTGTTGGTGGCGCAAGCCTTTAATCCCAGCACTCGGGAGACGGATCTCTGTGAGTTCGAGTCCAGCCTGGTCTACAGAGCGAGTTCCAGGACAACCTCCAAAGCTACACAGAGAAACCCTGCCTCAAAATAAAACAAAAAAGAAAAAAAGAAAGAACACAGATTTTTTTTAAAGTCAGGATTACCTTTTACTCTTTGACATTTTCATATATGTAAACAGCATGTCTTGGTCTTACCCACCTCAAACATCCCCTTCCAATTTCATGTCCCTTTCTTTTTTTTTTTCTTTTTGTAACTCACCGGGTCAAATTAATGCTGCCTGTTGGAATGTCGACTTGCTCTTGTCGGCGTGACCCTGTGTCTTGTGCAGGTTACACAAGACTGAAGTAAGCTCTCGAATTCAATGACCACCTCATGTCCAGACACAGACTAGGACATAAAGTTAGGATGGAAGCGATCTTACCAAGGTTAAATTTGCAATTGAGAGATTCCTCTTGTAGGGTCTACAAGCTTGCCTGGGAATGGGATGAATCTGAGTCTTTCTTCTTCCCATCCAATCCTTCTTCCCACGGGCAGAGTAGGTGAGGAAGCTGAACCGCTGTGCCCTCTATTGACTCCTCACATTCTGCTTGTCTTTATGCTTTTGGTTTGTTTGTTTTTTCTTCTAGTCCAGGGGAGTGTCAAAATCCACGTTCAGATTAGGCGCCATAGTGGACACAGACTTGATAGGTTTGGTCTCCATAACCCACTGCTCATAACTCTCATCGCAGCTGCTGGCAGTCATATCCCAGGTTGTCACACGGGCAAAGTTTCTCTCTGCGTATTTTTTTTCAATACTGATTTAGGTTTGGTAAAATCCAGGAAGGCCAGGATCTGAGGCTGGAATTTGGAGTATAAGGCCTGTTGCAAGCTGATATTCTCCACCTGAACCACAACAACCGCACATTCTGCACCATCCAGTTGGATGAGGTAAGTATAAATGTGTGTCACAGAGTCCAAATCCTCGGTCGGCTGAACTGACCAGGGTCTGGCCTGTCACTCGACCCTGCTGTAGAGGACAGAGGACAGGGGTGATGCTGTGGAGTGTGGAAGACTGAGAGGTCTAAGTCATTAATGTTGAGAGAACAAGCTGGCACACCGTGTAGCAAGAGTTCTAGTAGGTCTTAATAATAAAAACCTGGAGGCAGATGTCGGGGTAAATGCAGAATGGTCAGAGAAGCAAAGGAGCCAGCCACAGACCAGAGGGGCGATCCTGTCCCTACGAATCCTCAGGCTCAATGCTATCTCTACAAACCCTCAGACTGAATGGTGTGAGTTCCTGTCTCCTCCTCCCCACATTCCTCTCTCTGCCCAGCCATATCATTCCTGTCTCCACCTCCTTAGTGCTGGGATTAAAGGCATGCGTCTTCCAAGTACTGGGATTAAAGGTGTGTGTCACCATGCCTGGTGTCTATAGCTAACGAGTGTGGCCAGCTTCCCACTCTGATCTCCAAGCAAGCTTTATTTGTTAGATCTCAAACAAAATATCACCACAACACTGCTTTGCGGACACCGTTTCTGTGAACCTTAGAATAGAAACCCTGAAAAAAAAAAAACCCTCTTCATACTTACCACTGCACTCAGGCTTGGGTTTTTTGTTTTGTTTTGTTCTCTGTTCTTTCTTTTTGATACAGGGTCTTCATGTAGCTCAGGTGACCCGGTACTTGCTATGTATTCCAGGCTGACCTCGAATCCTCAATTCTCCTGCCTCAATCTCTGTGCTGGGATTACAGATGTGCACCACAACACTCAATTAATTGAATATGGTTTTCCTTATTACATATTTCTGCGTTGGCTGCATTTTCTTCATTTGTCAAGCAAAAAGGACAACCATCTTTTGGGGGGGTGATGATAGGGGGCTTCCTAAATCTAATTATGTCCACATGGGCAGGATTGAAATGGAATGGGAAGAGAGGGAGAATTTGGGGAGGCATTTGGTAAAAGAGAAGATCTGGGAAAGGCCAAGAAAGGGGGAGGGAAGTCTGCTGAAGGGACTGTGGAATGTGAGCATCTAGAAATGGTCTTTCCTATTCCACTTGCTCTTGGGTAGGGCACTTCTTTTTTTTTTAATCTTTAAAGTTCCAATGCCCAAACCATTATAGATTTATGTTTGGAAACAAGAGCTCAATTGATATAAGGAATAAATTAATACTTCTAAAGCATCGTTATAACTTTTTGTTTCTATGCTAGTTCTACCTTCTTTCATCTTGTGCTAGCACAGATAAGCTGGGCTTGGGTCTAGCCATTGGGAGCTCAGTTTTCTTGTCCCTTTTGCCACACTGGCTCTTTAACAATCGTGCCAATTAAAAGCCTCTTTGGAACATTTCCCATCTCCAGAATCCTTTCTCATTTTTCTTTAATAAATTTATGTTCTCTCTGCTTAAAAATAAGACCACACTCTAGCATGCTCCTCCCTCGCATGCTTCTCTAGGCTCACAAGCCACTGCTTTTTCTGATAATCAGTTTCGTTTCTCTCACCCACATTTCTTCTCTTGAGACAGCATCTCACTAGATGCTAGCTAACCCCAACTAGCCTAGAACTCCCCATGTATGTAAACAAGGCTTAGCCACAGTTCTTACAGGCAAGTCTCAATTACTGCAGTAAGTTTCAAGAATTTGTACCCATCAGGGATATACAGCCTTTGCGATTGCAATATGATGTTGTTGTCTCCAAATGTGTTGAGCAGCATTCATAAGTATCCTAGTTACATGTGGTTCATGGGCCACAGGGTGGATACACTCCACCTGTTACCCTGTTACCTATCATTCTTTTTGTTGTTGTTGTTTTTCAAGACAGGGTTTCTCTGTGTAGCTTCGGAGCCTGTCCCGGAACTAGCTCTTGTAGACCAGGCTGGTCTCGAACTCACAGAGATCCTCCTGCCTCTGCGCCACCACCGCCCGGCTCTTACTGAATCAAAATCAGTAAAATGTAATTAAAAAAAAACTTAAGTTTCAATTTTTTTTCCAAATTTCAAACAATACTAGCAAGTATAAGAATTATATGGTGGGTGGGGCTGGAGAGATGGCTCAGATGTTAAGAGCACTGGCTGCTCTTCCAGAGGTCCTGGGTTCAATCCCCAACACCCACATGGCAGCTCACAACCATCTATAGTGGGATCCAATGCCCTCTTCTGGCATAAAGGCATATATGCAGAAAGAGCACTCATACGTAAAATAAATCTTAAAAACATAAATACTTATATGGCGGGCAGTGATGGCATACACCTTTAACCCCAGCACTCAAGAGGCAGGGATAGGTGGATCTCTGTGAGTTAGAGGCCACCCTGGTCTACAGAACAAGTTCCAGGACAGCCAGGGCGGTTACACAGAGAAACTCTGTCTCAAAAAAAATTATTTGCATTTATGACTTTTACCAGACTGAAAACTTTTCAAAAGAGCAACACATCTTATACTTCAGCCCCAATTTTATAGTTTTCAAAGAAGTTCAAGGAAGTCCAACATCTACTGAGCCTACTCACAAATGCCACAGACAGAACAGAGTTTGAAGACAGCTCAGTTGAGAATTACATATACCCCACATAATCTTCCCAATAATGTTTATGTCTTGGGGCCAAATATATTTGAGTAGGTATTTACACACCTCTGTCCACTACTAACAACATGACTTTGGTCTTATCCCAACTGTCTACATAAGTCATTGAAGTAAGTGTCTCACTCAGTGAATAGCAACTATTGTGCATTCCTTAATTGTGTTTTGTTGTTGTTGTTGTTATTGTGTATGTCCAAGCACATGGTGCACACCACAGTGTGTTTGTATGGAGGTGGTTGTCTTCTTCCACCAGGTGGGTTCCTGGGATGGAGCTCAGGCTGTCAGGCTTAGCAGCAAGAGCCTTTACCTGAGGAGCTGTTCCCCAGCCCCAGGTAAGGGTTTTATTTTCCTTTTTTTTAAAAATAGAGTCTCCTATCCTAGGATGGCCTTGACCTCCCTAATTTAGACATGGAACTCTCATCTTCCTACCTCCACCTACAAATGCTGAGGTTACCGGTGAGCCACCACATCTGGCTCTGATAGCTGCTTTCGAGGCAGGGTTTTACTAAGTACTTCAAGCTGGCCTTGAACTCCAGATCCTCCTGCCTCAGTTGCCTGAGTGCTGGGAATTACAGGGATGAGCCGGTATATGTCGTATGTACTTCCGGTTATTAAACTGTCTTTGCTACTGAGTGAATGATGATGACAGGCTTTTGGTAACTGTCACTATTCTATAAGGTATAACTGGGGCTGGAGAGACAGTGAGCCTGTGGAAGCCCAAGAACCTGAGTTTAAATTCCAGGCATCCAAGCCGGGCAGTGGGGTAGTGCATGCCTTTAATCCCAGCACTCAGGAGGCAGAGGCAGGAGCATCTCTGTGAATTCGAGACCAGCCTGGTCTACAAGAGCTAGTTCCAGGACAGTCTCCAAAGCCACAGAGAAACCCTGTCTCAAAAACAAAAACAAACAAAATAAAAACAACCCCAAAACAAACAAAAAACAAAAAGCCAGCCAACCAACCAACCATCAAACAGCAACAAAACTTAAGTAAGCATGGCAGCACATCAAAGTGGAGGCAGGAGGCACAGGAGTTCAAGACCAGCCTCTGCTACATAGATGACTAAGGCCAAACGAGACTACCAGAAACCATCCCAAAAAAGTAGCACACACGTTTGATAAGGGGCTGAGAGTGTGTGGCCTAGTGGCAGAGTGCCTACCTAGCATCGGCAAGTTCTTGTGTTCAATTATCTGCCCTACAAAAAAAAAATAGTAAATAAAGAGAACAAGGGAAGGAGAAATGTGTCTACAGTAAGATCATGCTATGTGGTCCAAGATGGCTTTAAAACTGAGAGTGCAGAAATTATAGGTGTGAACCACCATGCCCAGTCGGGGAGAAAGTGTTATCAGATAGTACAGGGGTTAAAGATTCAGTCCGCCCGTGTCAATAGGGAACCTGACACAGAACATGGTTGTTGAGTCAGAATGTACGGTGTACCTTATGGAAACATATGAAAGCATCAAGGGTTGTGGGGAAAGATAATGAGCTTGAGGTGCAAATAGCAGCTTTTTGCTCACAGTTAAGTGTTTCCAATACAAGTAGTGGCACCAACAGGCTTTACAACCTTAGGGTGTAGTCTACCTACCTACTTGAGACATCGACTAATAGCCCAGGCTGACTTCAAGGTCACAATCTTCTTGCCTCAGCGTTTTGAGTGCTGGGATGACAGGCATGAGCCACCAAGCCCAGCAGTATTTCATTCTCTATTAAGCTATGGTTATAACCACTGTGGAAACAAAGATGGCCACAATACCAAGTGAGAAAACGTGAACAGTAAGAGAAGGAAGCCCGCCAGTCGTTGGTGGCGCACGCCTTTAATCCCAGCACTTGGGAGGCAGAGGCAGGTGGATCTCTGTGAGTTCCAGGCCAGCCTGGTCTACAAAGTGAGTTCCAGGACAACCTCCAAAGCCACAGAGAAGCCCTGTCTCAAAAAACAAAAAAAAAAAGAGAAGGAAGCCCAGAGGAGTGACTGACGTACCCCAGTAACCTGGCTTGGCATAGGGAAGGGCCAGACAGGAGGATCACAACTGTCATAACCATGTCTCCAGCCTGGATCACCAAGTGAGACCCTGTCTCGAACAGAACAAAAGAAATCAAAACCAAAGGCGGGGGAGGGGAGTAAAAACACCCCTAAGTGTTGACAAAGTCACAGAGCAGCAATGCCTTTCCTACAGCACTGGGAAGTATATAATTTGCATTATTTGATAAGTTTGGAAATGGGCATACTCTACAACACTTTTTAAAAATATTATTGTTTATTTTTAAGTTTAAATTTAGATTAGAAACAAGGTTGCTTCACAAGTCAGTTCCAGGACCCTCTCTCTTTCCCTCCCCTCCTCCCGTGCCCTCCCTCTAACCCCCCCCATTATCCCCTCATTTCCCCAGGGATGGTGAGGCCCTCCATGGGGGTGTCCATAGTCTGTCATTTCATCCAGGGCAGGGCCTAGACCCTCTCCTTTACAACATTTGTTACCCTATGCAATATACCCAAAGCATCAGGACACAACACGTGTTTATAGAAACCTTACTTATTTATTCATTTGTTAATGAACTTGTTCTGAAATAGAATCACATATGTAGCTGGGTGGTGGTGGAGCTCGCCTTTAATCCCAACACTGGGGAAGCAGAGGCAGGCGGATCTTTGTGAGTTCGAGACCAGCCTGATCTACAAGAGCTAGTTCCAGGACAGCCTCCAAAGTAGCAGAGAAACCCTGTCTCGAAAAACCAAAAAAAAAAAAAAAAAAAAAAAAAAGAATCCTATATGTATCAGGCTGGCTTTGCACTCCTTAGTAGCTTAGTTTTTAATCCTCCAGTCTCTACCTCCCCAGTGCTGGGATTACAGGTGTGTACCTCCACACCCATGACACTCACGATATTAACAAATCTTAATTGTTTTCCCCTCCTTTTATTTTCTTTTCACCATCTGTCACCAGCTCCTCATACCAATTAATCATTTTGTTTTGTTTTGTTTTGTTTTTTTGCAATGCCTTCTAGCCAGTTGGCTATATCAAAATGAAGTTGAGTATCTCCTTCCTGGCCTCTGACTGTCAGAAATCCATTCCAGTGGGCAATGGACTCAAGCTCTGTACCTTCTATGAGAAGAACATAACTACAGAAGTATATGTTGATGCTCGGGATCAAGAGTGGAAAGATTGTGTGGCTGGAATCAGTGGTGGGTTTTCCCATGAAAACAAGGTTCCCCCCATAATACAAGGTGTTTTGACCCCACAGCAGAGCACACCTGATGAGTGAAAAGTTTCTGCGCCCTGATAAGGCTCTCCACTGATGCAACAATCCAAATCAGACCAAATCAAATGGTATTTGAAAACACTCACAAGCAATGGGTACAATGCTCCTGGATGATTTTCCAGCACCCCCCCCGCCCCAGAGAGGAGACAGAAAAGAGAGACTGGAAAATCATGAACCTGTTTTCTGGGGACAGCTTAAATTCCCCCTGGGAGTGGTCTTGAGCATTTCTGGGGAAGGGGTCATCACTTGAGGGCTTTCTGAGATGCAGCAGGGTTTGGAGAGAGATAGGGGAGGGGGCTTAGCGTGGAATTTCCATCAGAACACACCAGATTCTTTGGGTATATGGAAGCCAGGAGCTGGGGTAAAGCTTCCACCAGAAAAATGAGCAATGGCCTTTCTTGTTACAGACCAAGAACTGGAGAAAGGAAACACCGGCTATTTGGGGATACATTGTAAATGTCAGTCTTAGAGCTCTCACCTTTGTTATTGGAGGCAGGTGGTCCTGGACTGACAGATATACCTCAGAGTATGGGGTCCAAAAGAGTTAGCAGAATCTGAAGACTTTTCAGTCTCTCTAAAGATGATGATGTCCACTGTATCACTCAGGGTTCTCTGGAGTCCTAGAACGTACAGAATGAATCGCAACCTCTCTCTCTCTCTCTCTCTCTCTCTCTCTCTCTCTCTCTCTCTCTCTCTCTCTCTCTCTCTCTCTCTCTCTCTCTCTCACACACACACACCACACACACACACACACACACACACACACACAAGAATTTATTGGAATGACTTGCAGGCTGCAATCCAACAATAACTTGTTATGAATGGAAAGTTCAAGATCTAGTAGCTGCTCAGTCCCACGAGGCTGGGTGTTTCAACTGGTCTGGTGGATCCCAAAGAAGGGAGGGATGAGCTGATTGGGCGAGGGTGAGCAGGTAAAGAACAACCCTTCCTTCTTCCTTTGTCCTTATATGGGCTTCCAGCAGAAAGTGTGGCCCAGATTAAAGGTATCCCAGACTCAAGGTCTCTAGATCTGGATCTCAAGTGCGCCCTCTATTTCTGTATTATACTTCACTCCAGTTAATGGTCACGCTGACCACCAAGAATAGCCATCACATCTACCAATCTGCTTCCAGAAAGCCTTTAAACCAAGAAGGTAAGAATTCTAGGACCAAACCACTCAAGATTCAGTGTCCTGTTACTCCATATGTCCTGCAATACAAACACTGATGTAAAAAACAGCAAAGTAAGGAAAACAAAGAGGCTACAAAGTATGCTAAGACGGCAGAATTATACAGTGAGAGCTCATCTGAAAAAAATAAAAAAAAAACTAACCCACCAGGATTATCCCATACACAGGGTGGTGAGAAGACTACTCTATGAAAAGTCATTGCCTTACTGTAAATTCCCTGTGAAGCCACAGTATTCCTTTTCCATGGTAGGATTCGTCCTAAAAACTGCAGCAATGTATTAATCGTTTACTGGGCACAATTCCCCCTATGCATTGGTATATTTGGATGACACCACCCTACCCCCCAGCTATGTATGATTCTGGCAAGAAAGTAATCACAGTCGATGAATACCCTTACTCTCTCAATGAGGTCTTTGTATAAACTTAGAAGTCTGCCCCTCTGCAGTTATCTTACTTGGCAGACGGTTGGTCAATGTTAGTGTCCGGGCAAAGAGACCTCAATTGAGACATTCACAGATACCTAAGGACGAGAATTGTGGCATGTCTGCAGTTGTTGAGCCACAGCTCTCAGACAGATAGAGGACAAGAGTGTCCTGGATTCAGTCTGCCAGAAGATAGGAAAGTACTGTTGCAAGCTAACCCAGCATTAACCTTAAAAACATGCCTGTTGCAGGCGGATCTTTGTGAGGCAGGCGGATCTTTGTGAGTTCGAGACCAGCCTGGTCTATAAGAGCTAGTTCCAGGACAGCCTCCAAAGCCACAGAGAAACCCTGTCTCGAAAAACAAAAACAAAAACAAAACAAAAAAAAAAAACATGCCTGTTATTCACTTGCCAGTCTATTAACAATAGATTTGTGTCTTAAAGTTGTCATTGGGCATTGTGCCTCACTGTCTGATCTTGGTTTTGCTCCTATGGCCTTGGACCCATGTGTCACCATTGTAAATGGCTCAGCTCCTTGTTGCTTGCTCTAGGAATTTGCTTTTGATCAATGAAATTTCTTTGTCCCCTCAAGGCTCCTAAAGGAGAGGAGTTTTTTTTAGAATAGAAGAAGCATGGGGGAGTCAGAAGTAGGACTGGGTTATTAGAGTAGAGACAGAACAAAAGAGCATATAAAATAAAGAGCAAGCCCCCCCAGACTGTGTGAAAAGTTACTGTAGAAATCTTTTACCCCCTCCATGGCTTCTGAGAAGCATTTCACCTTTGGAACACTGGGTGGGGGCTGGAGCAGGTCTCTTCTACAAACTTTTGGTCAGCAGAATGAAGTCAAAAGAAAACATCAGGGACAGATTTCTGAAAAACACATAGGCTTGCCCTGTCTGAGAGCTTTTTATTTCTAAGCCTGAGTCCAGGCACCAATAAGTCTTTAAGAATAACAAATAATTGATCAGACCTTGAAGAAGAAAAAAAAAGCATTGCTTCTGAAATTGCTCAGAGGGTAAAAGCACTTGCCACTAAGCTTCTACGGCATGGATTTGATATTCCCAGAAGTTGTTTGTAACTGGATGTTTCTCTCTCCCACCTCGTCCCGCAGCTGCTTCCAAATAATCACCCATAGGCTTATTATATTAATTATTAATGCTCCTACAGTAGCTTAGGCTCATTACTAGCTAACTCTTACATTTAAATTAACCCATATTTCTTTCTTTCTTTCTTTTTGTTTTTTTGTTTTTTTTTGTTTTTATTGAGACAGGGTTTCTCTGTGGCTTTAGAGCCTTTCCTGGCACTTGCTCTGTAGACTAGGCTGGCCTCAAACTCACAGAGATCCGCCAGCCTCTGCGTCCCGAGTTCTGGGATTAAAGGCGTTGAGCCACCACCACCACCTGGCTATATATTTCTATGTTTTGCCACATGGCTCAAGGTTTTTTCCCTCATTTTCAACACATCCTGCTTATTGGGCGGCTGGCTAGCATCTCCCCTGGCTCTGCCCTCTTCATCTGAGTTCTCAGTTGGATTTTTCTGCCTAACCTTATCCTGCCTGGCTACCGGTTAAACAGCTTTTATTATTAACTAATGAGAGGAATACATATTCACAGCATACAGAAAGATTATCTCACAGCAGTTGTTCTTTGACTTTTCACACATATGCCCTATTTTAGCATACACATAGGCAAGAGCACATGCTACTTTGGTGGTTCCCAAAGAATTGTTATTTTTGCCCACATTGTAGTCCTTACACCTACAATATGAGACTGAGATTGCCTTTTCCTTTTTCAAAACAAAAGATAAAGACATTGAAAAGACATCCTTCTTGCCCCCTTTAAAGTACTCTTTTTTTTTTTTTTTTTTTTTACTTTGGAGGATTAGCCTGCTATGTTCAAATGTTTGTCTTCTGGGAAATTCCTGCTGGAGTTTAATCACTATTTTGAGTTATTAAGAGGGTGGAAAATTAATCCAATTAAGGCATTTAGAGACTGGGCCATAGGGAGGTGCTAAAGTCATTAAGGTTGGAGGGGGGGCGTCAGGTGAGTAAGCAGATGCACATTCCTAGCCTCTTGCCTGCGTGATGCCCTCTACTGCCTAGGGACTCTGCCGGCGACAAGACACACCACCAGGTGTGGCCCCTTGGACCTCTAAACCAGCTACACAAAAGAAACAGCTTTGATTTAGGGACTCTGTGCTATTATTTATTAACAAGAAACCACAGACTTAAGAGCGTTACCATTACCAACCAACTGCATTTTGTTTTCCTACGTTCCAACAAGATCCTTCCCCTCTTCTTTCTTCTTCTTCTTCTTTTTTTCTTCCGAGACAGGGTTTCTTTGTGTAGCTTTGGAGCCTATCCTGGCACTCTCTCGTAGACCAGGCTGGCCTCCAACTCACAGAGATCCACCTGCCTCTTCCTGCTGAGTGCTGGGATTAAAGGTGTGCTCTCTCTCTCTCTCTCTCTCTCTCTCTCTCTCTCTCTCCCCCCCATCTCTTTCCTTTATTTGGTGAGGTTTAGGGATTGAACCTTAGGTCTCCTCATCCATAGGTCGTGTGAAGTGTTACCATTGAACTACATACCGCCTCTCAAACCCAACAGACACAGAATTCTTCTCAGAATCACTAGAGATTTTTTTTTTGTAAACCTGTTTGTGCTGTGGGAGAGGATCACAGAAGGGGATAGCTATGCGGCTATCTTTGGCTACTCGGACATTAGCAAACACGAGGCAAGCAAGGCCTTGATAAACACTTACACAGTGATGTTTTTGTTTTTGCAGTATGTGATGACCAGGTAAGAAGCTAGGCCATTCTGTTAGAGCTGCCTAATTAGAGGAGAACTCGTGTAATTAAGCCAGCAGCCGTGGCTAACTGACTGCCAGCCATGGAAGTGAGCCTAGCATGTACCACTCACCTTACTGAAGCTCCTGGTGACTACACTAAATAACCAGCCTCACGTGAGGGCAGCAGAACTACACCGCCAAGCTCAGCCCAAATTACTGTTTTAAGCCACTACATTGCAGTTTTAGAAGAATTAAAAAATACAGCCAGGCGTGGTGGCACCCGCCTTTAATCCCAGCCCTCTGGAGGAAGGGGTACTCTGAGTTTAAGGCCAGCCTGGTCTAGAGAGGAAGGCCAGAGCTACATAGGCAAACCCTGCCTGAAAACAACAACAAATGAAAAATTGAACACTAATCTTTGATAGTTTTAAATGCATTTTGCTCATAGGCACCCTCACTCCCCTCTCTTACTTCCCACTCTGGAACCTTCTTCTCAACATATCCCCTCCTACTTTTAAGTTTTTTTTTTTAAATCCACTGAGTGAGGGTTGCTTGCATGTGTGTGCATGAGTGTGGTTTTATTTACCAGATCACGGGCAATTTCCCAGTACTAAGGCACTAACTACATTTGAAATACATGAACACATGCAACTATGAAAATCGGTTGTTGTGTACAAGTGTGAAAGTTCAGCTCTCAGGTAGTAGAATCTGAAGTACCAAGATATAAAAGGCAGCTTGATTACATTAGCAAGAACCTGTCTCAAAAAAACCAAAAAACACCAGACAGACAACAGCTCACATTCACATGATCTAGTATTTATAATAATCAACAGACACCCAGGCTAATGTTGTTTTTTTCTAGCTTCTTCTAAACCACTAAATACTAAAAATTACGAAATGGGCTGTAGTAAAGAAAAGAAATGCAGACCGAAAGTAGAGATGGCAACAATCTGTCCATCTATTCGTGCCAGCAGATCTTAAAGAGTGCCACTAATTAACTTAATAAGCAAAGTCATTCCACGAGTCATTACCTTTCTTGAAGGAACCTTTGCCACTTCAGTTTTGCTCCGCTAATTTGTCAACTTTCCTCCCTTGAGTGATGAAACAGTTTCCTATCAGAGTATTGCAAATCAGCCGATGAATTTGGACGAGAATTCCGTTTGTGGCTCTGGAGAGGCGTCGGCTAAATAGTTAAGAGCCATGGTTGCTCTTCCAGAGGATCTGGGTTTGATTCCCAGCATTCAAATGGAAGCTCACAAACACTATACCCCTAGTCCTAGGGGATCTGATGCCCTCTTTGACCTTCACAGGTGCTGCGTGTACGTGGCATACAGCCACACATGCATGCCAAATTATGAACCCTGTGTCCTCAAATCTTCTTACTAAAATTTTGCAGTAGGGTTCTCAGTAAATTGTCCAGGCAGTTCTTGAATTTGAGATCTTCCTGTCTCAAGTCTTCTGAGTTGTTTACACTATAGGACTGAAACCAGATCCAACATATTGTGGCTAGGTAAACAAAACACACTAAGCATGTATATCTGCATACAAAAGAACGACCAAACGAACGAATGGCCAAAGGCATTATGAGTTTTATTTTTTAAACTTCTTTTGCTAGAGTCTTTTGTATGGAATCTTGGCTGGTCTTTAACTTGTGGAGATCCTCTTTGCTTCTGACTCCAGGTGATGAGATTACTGGTATGAACTACCAGGTCCCACAAGTAACACGTGCGTTGACAGGCTTTCCCTTTAAAAAACGTTGTTATGAGGCCAGCCTGGTCTACAAGAGCTAGTTCCAGGACAGCCTCCAAAGCCACAGAGAAACCCTGTCTCGAAAAAACAAAAACAAAAAACAAACAAAAAAAACGTTATTATGTATCATTATTTCTAGGGGGATGTCTCAGAATTCGTGAGTGGAAGTCAGGACGTTTTGGAGTTGGTTCTCTCTTCCCACTTTATGTGGGTTCCAGAGACGGAATTCGGGTTCCCAGTCTTGCTTGGCAGGCAGCATTACCCACTGAGCCAATTCTCTGACTCCTTTGTTTTGTGAAATGTTTATGAGAGACCACTTCAATTTAACTTTTCCCCGTTTTTTTTTTTTTTTTTTGAGACAGGGCTCCTCTGTGTAACAGCCCTGGCTGTCCTGGAACTCACTCTGTGGACCACGCTGGCCTGAACTCACAGAGATTCCCCCTGCCTCTGCCTCCCAAGTGCTGGGATTAAAGGCATGCACCACCAATGCCTGCCTTTTGTTGTTTTAATATCAGTATACATACATATATGATTTGAATCTTTGGAGATGTTAGGCATGCTGCCAGATTTGGAAAAAAGTATCCTAATTTACCATGCTGAGTTGGCATCACAATAACAGCAATACTGGTCTTGAAACGTTAAGCCTATTTTTTTTTTCTATTAGTACAGGAATTACTACACTGTATTAAATATGTAAGTTTTTAATCTATGAGGGCTTGATTACAGAAATAAAGTGTTCTCTAAATAATGAAAACAAACAGACAAAAGACCCCCATCAGGATCTGATATTGAAAGTTTGATTCTCTGTACCCACGTCTGGTGACTCACATACACCCACACCAGAGAATCCTAGTCCTCTGTCCTCCAAGGGGCGCCTGCACTCATGTGCACACACTCATACACTACAGTGTTTCTACTTGTAGTCATGAGATTTATAGTTTGGTATTACAGAGGAATTGCCCTGTTGACCATCTGGCTGTTAAGTCACAGTTTGCTGAGCCACAAAGGCAATTAATTAATTCATCTTGCTCATTAACTCGGAGAAACTTTTTTTTTCCCTCCCCACCTCAAAACAGGGATTCTCTGTGTAGCTAGCCATGGCTGTCCTGGAATTCTCTCTGTAGATCTGCAGAGCAGGCTGGCCTGGTACTCGGAGATCTGCCTGCCTCTGCCTTCTAAGCACCCCGACTAAAAGGTGTGCGCCACCACTGCCCGGCCAATTTGTTTTTCTTGAGTTGTTTAAATCAAACATAGTACAGAAGGGGATAGAAGGAAATTGTATATGAACTTTTTTTGTGTGGGTGGGGCGGGGGAGTGTAGTTCGAGACAAGATTTCTCTGCGTAACAAGTCCTGTAAACTTTGTAGATCAGGCTGGCCTCGGAAATCACAGAGTTCCGCCTGCCTCTGCCTCCCAAGTGTTGGAACTGAAGCTGTGTACCACCACTGCCCGGAAGTTTAGTTTTTAAATAAATGTGAAATTTCAGCAAGGAGTAGTGACTCACCCTTCCCCGGCATGCCTGAGATGAATGAAGGGGGGGGATCAAAGTTCGAGGTTAGCCCGTGAAGCACAGGAAGTTAACAAAAAACAAACTACAAGGAGGCTTCACAGAAATCCCATGATAGCTGGGGGTAATTTTGGGTCTCCTGTCTCCCTTGGTCCTTTCCAGGTAAACGGACGGCCTTTGGCCGCAATTTCACATATGACCAACTGCCCCATTCTCTCTTCTCCTAGGGATGCTATTTATGTCGCTGCACACATGCCTTCACGCTTTGGTTAGGTTTCGTTTTCTACCTGTAAAGTATGTCGAACCAACATTCCTTCAATTCTGTCCTTGGTGCCAACAACCCGATCTATTTCTAAAGTGCATGCACCGACTTTGTTTATCTGGCTTTATCATTAATCATAAGGGCTTCAGCAAAACCTCGTAAAACAGCAAACTTAGATCTGATCCAACTTCTGGAAACCTAAAGGAACTCCCTAAACCATTACCTTGGGTTTCGATAGTTTCCACGTTGCTCTCAAGTGCAAAACAGCCAGGTTTCCGGACCAGAGAGCAAGTCTAGTCCTCCGGCAACTTGTGTTGCTTAGTGTTTATCAGTACAGTTATGAAGCGCATCCTCCTAACCCCCCCACCCCACAATGCTGCCAAAGTTTTCCAGGTGTTTCTTTGGCTCTGCTCAGGGTGTGTTTCTTTGACTGGTCCCTTTTCCCTACACATTCCGCACCTGGGAGACTCCAACAACCTCTGCTCGAGTGGGTTAGGCGTGACCCCGTCAACATGCACCCGCAGCGTGGGACCCGCAGCCCAGGCTGCCACCACTGACAGCCTGGGAGCCAGCAAACCCGGGGCGAGCGAGGCGGCCGCGGTGACGTCAGAGCCCCGGTTCTTCCTCGAGGCCCAGCTTTGTCTCCTCGGTCCTGCACCCCCCCACCTACCCACCCACTCACCCATCCAAACCCCACACCCCACGAGCGATCGCGAAGGAAGCGGACGCGCAAAAGCGGCGCGGGGTGCAGCGGCCACGGTGCCAGCCGCGTGCAAGCGCGCGCCGGAGGGGACGGGGAACCCGCGCAGCCCCCTCCTCTCCCCTCCCCCACCACGCTTCCCGCCACCGCGTCCACGGGACTCAGCGGCGCCCTGGAGACCGCGTGGCGCGGCGGCGGAGGAGGAGGAGGAGGAAGCGGGACCCTGGAGCCTGAGCCAGCGCACACCCTGCGGCGACGCGCCTGCGAGCCGCCTTCCCCGCGGGGCCCCCGGGGCGCTGGGAGCGGTCTTCCCGCCGCTCGCCCAGTCCCCGCCGCCCGCCCGCCCGCCCGCGTGAGGCCCTTGGTGGGGGCGTGGCCCGCGAGGGGGAGGGGCGCGCGAAGCTCCGCCCCTGCCCCGCGCGCGCGGCCTGTCGGGCTCGCCTGGTCCCCGCCCGCCGCTCTTCTTCCTCCTGCGCAAGCGGCCGCGGCGGCGGCGGCCTGCTCTCAGGTTCCCTCCCGGCACCAGGCTCGCTTCGGCGTCCGCGGCGGCGGCGGCGGCAGCGGCGGCTCCGAGGCGCGCGCTTCAGCGCGTCCCTGCGTCCGCGGGTCGCGGAAGTGACGTGCGGCCATCCCCCCCCCCACCCCGGCCAAGGGAGCGTTTGAATCGGTTCCCGGGTTGCCGCCGCTCGCCCCGGCCGCAGCCGAGGAAGGTGCTGCGCGGCGGCGGGCGGGCCGAGGTCCCCGAGCCGCGGGGCGCCTGGAAGCCGAGCGGAGGGAGAGGAGGGCGCGCGCGGAGTCGGCGTCGCCGGGAAGCGCGCCCGAGGGCCGTGGGGTGTGCTCTGTTTTTCTCCCCCCCACCAACATGGCCTCGAAGGGCGCCCGCGATCCCGGAGGCCTCTCGGCGGCGGGCTCCGGGGACGACGCCGGAGTCGACGGCTGTAGGACGGTGTACTTGTTTGACCGGCGCGGGAAGGAGTCGGAGCTCGGGGACCGCGCACTGCAGGTCTCGGAGCGCGCAGGCTACGCGGGGTTCCGCGCTTCGGTGTGTCAGGTACGGACTCCCCCCACACACTCCCCTTCCCCGGGGGTACGGGGAAAGGATGCTGGCCCGGAGGTAGGGGTAGGTGACCCGGGGGCTTGCGTGGGTAACCAACGGCCATAAACTTGTCACACGGACCCTGGTCCTGCGGCCTCTGCCGGCGTGGGGGTGGGGGTGGGGGGCGCGCGTTGCGGATGATCCCCGGGCTGGACGTCCTGGCTGGGGCCAAGCAGGATGGGGTCCCGCCCCTGCGTGGGCCTAACGCGAGGGACCTCAGGATTGGGGTGTGTGTGTGGGGGGGGCGCTGCTTACCCGGCTTAGCAACTGCTCGATCACCTCCGAGCAAGTGTGTGAGCTCCCCGTCCTGTAGGGAGAAAGCACCTGTAAGTTTGTAACTTCAGAAGTAGTCCGCAGAGTTGTAATCCAACTGCACAGTCAGCAGCGAGGGTTAGAGGCGGTGAAGTTCCCTGGAGTCCGGGCACCCCAGGTTTCAAGGAGAGGATGGAGTCATTTCCCGGGCCCGTCGTGTCAGAAAGGTTGGCCTGGCCCCCGGTCCCAGCAAGATTCCACTACACCTTAGCTCTCGAGTTAGGCTAGTAGTATATATGCAGCCTCTGGTTTTTCTGAGCGCCCACCTTCTTGGGAGTTCTCCTGGACTAGCCCCCATACGGGAACAACAAAGAACGTGTGTACAGGGGTTTGGAAAAAGGAAGGACTCTGTAGCAGAACCCGCTTGGCTTTTTTAAACTGTGTGGTGGGTGTTGCACGGGTTGGTGGTGTTACTGTTGCCTGAGCTTGTGACTACTTTTTTGGGGGGGAGTGGTGGGGTGTTGTAGGGTTTTGAGACAAGGTCTTGCTGGACGTCTCTGTGTTGACCAGGTTGGCCTCGAACTTTCGATCGTCCTGCCTTTGCTGTCCAGTGTTGGCCTTCACAGGCCCCGACTGCCACCGTTCTGAGCCTTAGAAGAAGGAATGTGGTAATGAAACAGCTTCAAAAGAAAGAAATTTTAAGTGTTGTTTTGCCTCCAGGGGACTTATATTAATAAGTTTAGGAATGGCCTAGGTAGAACAGTGGGTCTCAGTCTTCCTAATGCTGCAACCCTTTAACACAGCTCCTCATGCTGTGGAGATTCCCAACCATAAAATTCTTTTCCTTGCTACTGTTATGAATTGTAATGTAAATATCTGTGTTTTCAGATCGTCTTAGTCGACCCCTGTGAAAAGGTCATTAGGCCAGTGGCGACCCACATGTGGAAAAACTGTGGCCTAGGACATAATTTTGTATGGTTGTTGAAAACAATTCAAATTGAGATTTATTTTGCCAAGGTGGGCTTTCTTTTGTTTATAGCTCTATTCCCAGTGTCTTGACACATGGTAACCGCCCACACAGTTTAGAATGGATACATTAATTGGGGAAAAACTAGGTAAACTGTGAAGTTCATTATATGCCTGTGTTTATGGTGGTAGATTGTCACAGTGTCTTAAGACTGAGTCTCATACTGTAGCCAAGGCTAGCCAGGAGCGCTGCATGTTTCCCAGTGCTAGCAATTGAATTAAAAATTACAGAGCGGCAGCATTAACTCCTGTGAGTCCTTCTTCCTTTTATGTCACTGTAATAGATGTTTTACGTTGTTCCCTTTTTTTTTTTTTTCATTTAAGATTGCCAGGAGAGGCTATTTTGCTTTTTAAGAAAATGCTGTGTATTTATTATTGTATGTATATGGGTGTTTGCCTGCGTGTATGTCTGCGCACTGGTTCATGCCTGGTGCCTTCAGAGACCAGCAGAGGTGTCTTGTGAACTGGCCTATGAGTGCTGGGAATCAAACCCAGGTCCTCTGCAGGAACAAGTGCTCTTAACTCTCCAACCCCAGAAGTGTCCATCTTAATACAGGGTTCATAGAATCAGGGATGATCTCTTTAGTATCACTACTTACAGAACAATTGAAATTTACTTTCAGAATTGTCATTTTTAGTACTGCTACAATAAACACTGGAATTCATAACTTTTTTGTTTGTTGTTTCGGGAACATCTTTAAAGTGTCCCATCCCTCCCTCCCCCCCATTTTTTTGTTTTTTACATTTTTGTGCATGTTTGCAAGGCACACGTGGCTGGCGGAGGACAACTTGGTTCTTTCCCAGTGCTCTGTCACTGGGCCACACACCCCCACCCGTCTTTTTCCTTCCTCCTTGTAACCCTGGTGCCTCAAACTCCATAGTGTTAAAGTTACAGGTGTGTGTCTGTCTTGTCTAGCTTTTTTTTGGATGATTGATTTTGGCCAAAAAAGGCCAGTAGTGAGATGTGTATATGTGTTAACTTTTTTGCTTACTTGTTTGTTTTAATTAGAAAACTTTGGATCTTCTTGTTTCTGTCTGGGGTCATAAGTGGTAGGCACCATGCGTGTCTTTTTTGTTTCGTTTTAAGATAGCATTTCTCTGTGAAACAGCTCTAGCTGTCATGGAAGTCTCTTTGTAGACCAGGCTGGCTTCGAACTCACAGAGATCTGCCTGCCACTGCCTTCCATGTGCTGAGATTAAAGGCATGCGTCACCACAGCCTGGCTTGGCATCATGCTTAAGATGTGTATTTTTAAATTGCTTTTCAAAAAGAATTTTCTTTCCCTCGGGTACTGTTTCTCCCTATCTTCTGTGAAGTACATGTCTAACTCTCTTAGACAAACAGATTGGATAATAAAAGGTAGAAGTTAGTATGCAAGTCCAGAAACCCTGTACTTTGTGTTGTACCTTTCTGCTTCCTTTTTACTGTAGGAATCATGCATTTTTACAACCCTTTCAATTTCCAGATTAACACCAAGGAAAATATTTATTTTAATTCCCTTTATCTTGTTTGTTTATTCAAGAGCTGATGAAGGTTACATTTGAATAGAAGTGAGGGGGAGAAGTAATAAGAAAAGGAAAAGCTAGGTATAAAATTAGGAAGACAGACTTCTAAAAATCAGTCTACTTTTTAAAAAACTTACTTTTATGTGTATTAAGAGTGTTGCCTGCACGTATATCTGAGCACCATATGAATGCCTGGTGCCTGTGGAGGCCAGAAGAGGGCATGCCATCCCCTGGAACTGAATTACAGACCGTTGTGAGCCATCTTGAAGGTGCTGGGAACCAAACAGATCCTATGCAAGAGTAGCAGGAGCTCTTAACCACTGAGCCATCTGCAGCCCCTGAATCTGCCCTTTATGGGCTACAGATCCTATGGCATTGTTTCCATTACGCACATGAAGGATTGAATCAGTCACCCAAATTACATACAAGATTGCATAGTTGCCCTTCTTTGCTTTCTATTGATGTTACAAGACATTCTGGCCAAGAGCAACTTGAGGAAAGGTTTTATTTGCCTTACACATGCAGTGAGGGGAACCAGGGCAGGAGCTAAAGGCAGGAACTGAAACAGACTATACTTACTGGCTTGCTCTCCCTGCCTTCTTCAGTTTGCTTATTAAAATCGCAGGCATGCCTCTCTTCCTCCAGTGATGCAAACCCCAAATCAGTCAAGAAAATGTCCCACATCATTCTTGCCAGCAGGACAGTCTGATGGAAGCATTTTCTCTGTTGAGCCTTTTTCTTCCTAGATGTGTCAAATTGACAAAAACTAACCATCACAGAGGTTAGCAAGAAGTAAAATCAAAATTGATCACTTGTTGTCTTGTTTACCCCAGAATACATGTGTAGTCTAAGATGGCCTTGAACTCTCCACCTCCATCTCACCCTCCATACCCAGCTTCAGGTCAGTTTGATTACAGACAAAAAAACTCTTCACAGTGCTGTACTTTATATTTCTCTTTCCTGCTGCTACCTCCACTTCTTCCTCCTCTTTCTTTTTCACAGAGCATCCTGGCATTGAGTTCTGGTTTAGTTTGCACTTTGTTCTCTAGGCTGGTCTCCAACTGTGAACAGACTTTCTGCTTAGCCTCCCAAGTG